CCTCAAGACCTGATAATAAGGGAAAGTTCTCGAAGTCTAACCTGGACGACCGAAGGAATGAAGCTAAGTGGTGTGAGAAGTGCAAGAAGAAGCACTTTGGAAGATGCGATGGAGAAGTGACATGCTATAAGTGTGGTAGGACCGGTCACTATTCCAGAGATTGTACATTCTACAACAAGAAGTGCTACGAATGTGGAAATAATGGGCATATTTCAAAGAACTGCCCAAAGAAAAATAAAGCAGCAAGACCAGAAATGCCACCAAGGCCAAGGGCATTTCACATGATCCTCGACGAAGAAGAAAACCGTGCGAGGAATCAAGGATGAGGACTTCTTACCGAAGAACGGATGATGCAGTAGCCATAGTTTCGTATGATGTAGCCTAGTAGAGGCATAGTCTAGGGTGAACTTGAACACCTATGTAATAGTTTCAAGAAATAATAAAATCTTTGCTTTGTTATCTGGTGTGTGAAATTGTTGTGTGATTTGCTTCATAGTGACTTGGGAAAAAAAACTGCGAGACAATACTTGGAGCGAGTATGAGTAGGTGTGAATGGTAGTAGAGGCCTATACTACCGGAAGCACAGGACTCACGCTTGGATCAGGGAAAGTCACAAGGTTACCAAGAAACTAGTAATTGATTTCGATTTATTCAAGTGTGTTGTTGCCATTGTTTCGGTAATGACTAAGACAATTGTTGATATTCCGACCCTAGCGGTCATATCAAATTGAGTCCGACTACGATGAGTATGTTACGTGATTCAGAGAATCAAGTTTGATGTAGCGTCCGACTTAAACCAAACGATTGATAGGAGTATCGCGCTCGTTGTTAAAGAAGTTGGTAGCTAGAAATGCCTAATGTTAAAGTGTGATTATATCACATTAGAACATGAAGGAAGGCATAGTCTGTTTTAGAATTTAACTCTAAGAGACCTAAGTCTAAAAATGCGACACATGATGATAGATCATAATTTGGAGTCTAACCTGGGGTAGAGAGCAAATGCACGATCAAGTACTGCTTGCAGTCAACGAGTCTAGGAGATAGACTTGAAGGAATGTAGAAGTTATAATTATTACCTAGGATGAAGAGATAACGTATGGAGTCATTATACGACCCTGTTTCGTTGATGATTCCGGGGCGTAATCATCCTAAGGGGGAGATAATTGTAACGCCCGCAAATCCGGGCTAGTCAAATTAGAGACAATAGGAGTCGAAAACGACTTTTCAAACAAAAGATTATTTAGAATAAATAATCTTAACCAAGTTGTGGAATATGTCTCAAGGTTTCCGTACATATAAAGAATGCCGAAATCCGAGCTATAACGAAGAAGTTATGGTCCGTCGAAGTTTCGCGACAAAACCGGTACGATGCCGGAAAGCGTAAATAGTGAATTTACGATAGAGCGAGATTTAGCCTTAGCAATCTAAACAAAAGTCGTAGAATATGTTAAACTAAGAACATCGATAAAAAGAACGCCCAAATCTGACTTCGTATGAAGAAGTTATGATTTTTCGAAGTTTCGGACTAGCAGTGTACAACCCGAAATTCGAATATTAGATCGAGCGGGTTTTAGCCGACACGAACCGAACGAGAATTGACGATCTTGTTGAGAGTAGCGTAACAAGAAAAAGATGGGCGAAAATGGATGTCGGATGAAGAAGTTATGAGGATTTAACGGACCAATCGTGTCCCGGCCCGTTAATAATATAAAATTTAAAATCGAGCCAAAATTAGCCAACGAGGTCTAAACGAATGTTGTAGAGTAGGTTCCCACCTTCGCGTGGATATAAAGAACGTCAAAAACGGAGCTCGTATGCGAAAGTTACGAATTTTTAAAGTTGAAGCATGAAAATGCGAAGTCTGTGCGAGATTGATGACGTGGCGCAATCTCAGCCGTCGCTTGCGGCCCACGGTCTCGCTCGGATAAGCGACACGTCGCTCCTCGCTACGCCCAGCGTTCGGTTTCGTGCGCGCCGCGTCCGCTCGCTCTCGGTCCAGAAGGCGCCACGACGACTCGCCTGACGCCCCGCGTACGAGGGTCGGTACGCCCCGCGTACCCTCGCTTCCCATCAACCGGTGTGCGAAACAGCTGGCTGCGAGCTCGCGTCCTCATCCGTGAAGAATGCGCCGTGTAGCCGAGGATTACGCCCCGCGTAAGACCGAGGCTCGCAGGCTATAAATAGGGGCGAAGGTCTCCGGATTTTTCACACCATTTCTCATTCTCTCTCTAAAATCTTTCTCTCTCTAAGGTTTTGAAGCCTCCCTATGGTCTAGGTGAACCCCTAGCACCCTAAGGAAGCCCCGAGGCTCCCGGAGTCCCGAGAAAAAGGAGTTTTTCGGTTTCGAAACGCTGCTCCAATTAAGTTCCGGTTTTCGATAAAATTCGCTGTAAGTATGCTACGCTTACGCAATTTTTAATATAGCTTCCAAATAATTATAGGAATGTTATTAGGTCCTTAAAATAATTATTTGGGCTATTATTATGAGTTATAATGAGCATTATTAACGCTTAATAATAGTCAAACTGATTAATGAGTCGCGGTTATCGTTAAACTAAACCCTAGTTGTATCGGTACTAGGTTTTATCGAAGGAACATCGTTTTGAGAGTATCGAAGCGCTGTCCGAGTGTTGAGTCACCACCTAATCAGGTGAGTGCATGGTCCCTTTCATCTTACACATAGATATGAAGTATTTTAATATAAATTACGTGCTATGTGTACATATTGTCTGAATACTTGTTGTCTATGCTGGATGAATGATTTATACATGTTTTAAATGATTTAAACTGTATATTTATTTTATATCTACAAATATGTTGGGATAAAACATGGGTAGATGAAATAGTTGGTGAGTGATGAAATAAAATAATGAGAGATAGGTGATGATAGGAAGGTGATGATAGATAGGTGATTATGAATCGGTGATGTAGGATACTAAAACCTTGTCCGACAATTTGGAGATGTAGTCATCTACCAGAGTATAGATGGCGACCGCAGACTATTAGTAACCCGTAGGTGATGAATTACGAGTCCAGGCGATGTTGTGGCTACGTATTCATGCGATGATAGTCTAACCCTTATTATGAATTACGAGTCCAGGCGATGTTGTGGCTACGTATTCATGCGATGATAGTCTAACCCATATTATGAATTACGAGTCCAGGCGATGTTGTGGCTACGTATTCATGAGATGATAGACTAACCCTTATCATGATTTACAAGTCCAGGTGATGTTTTGGCTGTGTAATCATGCGATGATACCCTAAATCTTGCTAGACACATATAGAGGGAGTAATCCCCGGAATAGTATTGTCTATGCAATGTAGGCGATGATCCTTAGGTAAAGTTCGTAGGAACAATCATATAAGGAAATACGATGTAAGGAGATGAGAAGTAAATATGATATAGGAGATGACCCTTGAGATAATATCTTTAGGGAAGACTAAAAGAAGATAATGGGGATGGGTAATTGGGTTGATTGTTTGATTGTTTAAACATAATAACTATATTATTGTGGGTTGAAAACCCTATGTACTCACCAGGTTTCCCAACCTGACCCACTCAGTTTATGTATATTACAGGTGACGAAATGAAGTGACTTTACACTGAGAGATTTAAAGAGATATAGATCACTAGTGTAAATCATTGTAAGTTCTGTTTATGCTTATGTTTCGGTATTAACGATGACATCCCAAACGTTTAAAAATGAAATAAATACGTTTCCTCGAAAATGTTTTAATAACGTATTTACCATGTTTTTCTGGGAACAAATTCCGCAACCTTTTTATAAAATGAAGTACTCTGATTTTCATAAAGCATAAACAAAATCGGTCTTTTCTGGCTGTGATTTTGGGGATGTCACATAATGGCATTAAAAGAGTTCTGCACTAGACAAAGCACTAAAATTATGCAACTTAATTGTATGACAATGTATTACCAGATTATATAGTTAGAGAAATGCCTTTAATATAAATATATTACATTTATTTAGATTAGAATGATTATTTATATTCGACATATTATATATTGTTAAACAGATTGTTTATTTTGTATGATATGTTATTTTATATTATGATACCTTTAGTGTTATTTAATTTGAAAATTAATAAATCTACTAATTTATTTTAAAACACTTAAAACTATGACACGCAAAAAAGTCTGTCGTCTTACTTTATGACAAGGGTTTCCTTGACAGGCGATGTGTCTCGTGAGTGCGTGTCGTAAATGTGAGTCGTAAGACACACAAATGTATGTCATCTTCCTCTAAAATATTCATATTACAGTGTTATTAAACTTTCATGATATTTTCTATGTTAAATTTTCATGTTATTCCATGAATCTACTCATGGGCTAATTTAGCCAATTTTTATCAACCGATAATTAAGAAAAAAAACTAATAAAGTTTTCTATTTTCAACGAATTAATTTGTTTTTGACTTTTTTCGACTAATTAGAATACTGTTTACTAATCATAACAAAGTAACAACTAACAAGCTTCCTTTAAAAAAAAAATCTAGAAAAAATCACTAAACTAACCATTTTTCTTAATGACTTGTCTATGCCAAACATTATTGTTCTTTAAAGGCTCCAGGCTCCATTGACAAAGATTTTCTAATAAAAATGGCCACAAATGAAAATTACAACTTTATATAATATAGGCTTATAGGCTTAAAACAGTAAACAACCCATGAGACAATAGCCCCTTACCCGAAAATTTAGCCAACACAACATTAACCCGTAGTCAGTTGACCGTAGGAATGCTTAGTCACCACCAACGGTTTTATAGGTTATTTTGGAAAAAAAAAATGCTCGTTTTTGGCTAAAATAGATACATCATTAAGAAAAATGGCTATTTTTGTAATTTTCTTAAAAATCTATCCTAATCTTTTGATCTTGATCTTTATTTGGACATTATTTTGTTATAAATACATATTTTCCCTAAACATATTGACATCGCACCATCAACCACTGCCTTCCGCCTTCGTCACCACCAGTTCACCATGGATATAACCAATGTCGCCGGCGGTTCTAAGGTGAACAAGAAAACGCCTAAACGTAGAAGAAAGATCGATTCGAAGAAGATAGAAGATATCAAGAGCCGCCAAGTCACCTTCACTAAACGCCGCACCGGACTTTTCAAGAAAGCGGCTGAGATCTGTGTCTTGACCGGAGCCCAAATCTCCATCCTGGTTACTTCCCCCTGTGGTCGGCACTTTACGTTTCGCCACCCCAACTCCGACATCATGCTTGACAATTATCTGAATAATAAAAACACCACCGGAGAGGATACTGGAACCACCACGAACTCTCCACCACCGCTTCCCATGAAGGAGTTCAATCAACGTTACATGGAGGTTTCAAGGGAGTTGGACGCTGAGAAGAAGCGGAGGGAGACGATTCCGGTGATCGGTGGCGGATTACGATGGTACGATGAGGCTGTTGATGGGCTGGATGTGGAGGAGTTGCAACGGTATCTTTGTTCACTGGAAGAGTTGAAGAAGAAGGTTTTGACGAGAGCTGTTGAACTGATGATGATCAACAAGTCTTCTGATGCATTATTTGGTTCGAACAACGGCAATGATCAACCGCCGGTGGATATTCCGGCAAACGCAGTAGTCGACGACGGTGGTTTTAACTTCGAGTACGATAGGGGTTTTTGGAATTGTTAGTTAATTACATAGATGAAGTTCTTAATGTCGTAAATATTCAGCGTAGATTTGAATTAGATTTCTGCATTCTTACATTAGATACTTTACTACTAAAGTAAATTTTGTTTTAATAGAAACTTTTATTAAATATCATTTAAGATCTTATTGGGTTTGTTTTTATCTTTTCAATTTTGTTGAAATATCTCTTTTTACTTTTACAGCAAAAATGATTTTTAAAGACATCAAAACAAAAACTTAATAAAAATTGTGATTATCATAACAATATAAATAGTTTTGCTATGAAAAACAATTTTGCAATAGACAAAAAAATAAATAAATACCGCAATAGATTATTTTCTCAAGTTATTTATTAAAGTAAAGTACACGAATGGTCTTTAACTTAAAGTACACGAATGGTCCTTATGATTTAGGATAATTTGCACGTTTGGTTTTTAATTTAATTTTTTAACTCGGAAGGTCTTTACTATTTGTTTTTATCACGCGTTTGATCCCTTTCTTACCTAAAAAGACTATTTTGCTCTTGATTTTTTTATTTATTTAAATAACCACACCCTCAACCACACCCCCTTCATCTTACATTACCTTACCTACATCACTATTTTTCTCTATATAAATAATAGTCTTTTTAAATAAGATAGGTATCAAACGCGTAACAAAAAAACAAATTGTAGGGACCAAGCGTGTAAAAAACAAACAATAGAGACCTTCTGAGTTAAAAAAATAAGTTAAGAACCAAACGTACAAATTATCCTAAACCATATAGATCATTCGTATAATTTACTCTGAACATTATTTTTATTAATTTGAGCCTACAAAAAGTAATTTTCACAAATAGTGAAATTTACAGTGAACCTTTACGAAATAAATAGTTATTTTCTATAAAAAGTTTTTAAAATAACTGATATGTGACAATTATAATATATATATATATATATATATATATATATATATATATATATATATATATGTTTTTTTTCTGTTTTAGAAAATATAGATGTTCAAAGTAATATAAGAAATACATGAAGCCATTGTATCATTGGGCGTCTATGATTGTAGGCTTGTTTTCATGAAATTTTGAATCTATAAATCGATTTTGAGTTTGAAGGATTTGTATCTGTGATATAATTTTAAATGGAATTGAATTTAATTTTTTTATATCTTTTTTGCTTTTTAGATATATCCAAATGCACTTCTAGGATCATATGAATTCACATCTAATGATAAAGAATGATTAGAGATCGAGGAAGTGAGATAATTTGTACACAACAATTTTTCTCCATACACAACAATTTGTGTTTTAAAATGTTATATTGTACAACTCTATAATGCATAAATTGTTGTGTATTGCAAAAAATCGTTGTGTACAAATCGCTTCCGATCGAGGAATTTACTTTTGACTTCTTATTTCTATTCATAAAACAGAGTACAATTTATGTTATTTAGAATACCAAAAAAAAAAAGAACTAACTAAGCTAAAAACTAGCATATGTATGTGCTCCGATACAGGTGCTCTCTAAGCCAATTTATTCTCCTTCAAACCTAGTTAAACTAAGAACCAAATCATAATTATTCAACAATTTTCCCCTAATCTCGGACTGTGTCCTCAAGCCTCTAATTCCCAAAAGGTTTCTCATCTCAATCAACTTAATTCTGGGGGAATGATTTTGTTAAGGGATCAACTCTTTGTTCATCTCCGCTGATGTACCTTACTTCAATTTGTTTGTTCTCAATGCATTCACATATGAAGTGGAATTTGGTGTCATTATGTTTGCTTTTTCCATGGAATACAAGGTTTTGGATGAGGGCTATTATTGACTTCTTATCCACATATAGTATCACACTTTCGTCCTTCCAATTGGTCAATTCTTTCAGCAAGCTTTTTAGCCATAATGCTTAGCACGTAATCATAGTTGTTGGCATGAATTCGACCTAACTAGAGGACAACGACATGGTGTGTTGTTTCTGAGATGACCATGTGATCAACTTACCAAAAAAGCAAAACATTGTCCTTGTTGTACCCTTTCAACCATCTAGGTCTAAACCAAAGCTACTGTCACTAAATACAACCAACTTTCTATCTCCACCTTTTCGGTATACCAGTCCATCGTTAATTGTTCCTTTTATGTATCTCAAAATATGTTTAACCTCCTTGAGACGACTTTCCTTTGGCAACTCCATATACTTTCTAACTACTCCAACTGAGTAACCCATGTCTAGTCTTGTGTTGATTACGTAGTGCAAGCTACCAATAAGACATTAGTAGTCGGTGTCATTGATTGGTACACCATAACATGTAAACTAACATACATCAGCCTTGCCCCGACATCAGATCGAAGTCCAGAACACATAACACATAACATATAATATGCATGAATCATAAAGACATCACACATACGTAACTACTTCTCGGGACCGCCCCGGCATCGGACCGAAGTCCGAAACACATAAGTTGCATCAGGCTAACCCGGACATCGGACCGGTGTCCCCATACTATAACTACATAAATGGGCTGACATTGGTACCTTAGACCCGTTCCTACTGGAGGAAGACTCACCTCTAAATCTGACTGCTGAAAACTCGTGCGAGGGTATCTATAACAGCTACTCCAACGACTCCCTGACTATTATGACCAAGAAAACACTTAGTCAAAAACTGAGAATCCATATGAGTGTAAAATGACTATTTTCCCTCTTAGGTCTAAATTGGACCCTGACCTAGGCCCAATCCTTTCTAGTCTTTCCAAACTCACTAAGGCCCATTAAATTTCTCCAATGACCCAATTTTCTAAATTGGGTCCAACTCCTCAAATGGGCTTTCCTAGCCAAGACTAAACTAGCCATTGGACCCTTAACTAACCCTTGGTGGCCCATCACGGCCCAAGATCTGCCAAACCCAAGTTTTGGCCCAAACTGAGGCCCAAAAAATTAAAAGTCCATATCTGGTGAGTACGATGGGCGTACTCATATGTACGTTAAGTGTACAAGCTAAATGGAGCGTACAGTGGGAGTACCCGCATGTACGTTCAACGTACTCCCCTATTAAGTCACTTCCCCTATTAAGTGCTTAATAGTCTATTCCAAAAGCTACAATCACAGATCCAAGTCCTATTCAACATTTTAATCCATAAAGTCATTGACTTGGTGACTTTGCATGACCTTAATAAGCCCAAACTCTAAAATAGCATTCCATTCCCATAAATATGATCTTAACTTAAGCATGAACCCAATAAGACGTTCAAGATGGCAACTTTCTGCCTTTAAGGACTCATTTTGAACTGAGAGTGGCAACTCTAAGTCTAGAAATCGGGTTCGAATCATAATATTCTTTACTTAAGACCAAAAAAGACATTAAAACCACACTACACTAGATCTAATCATTCTTGAGGAAAGTTATGAACTTTATACCTCCAAAGAGTCCCAAATGATGATGTTATCCCTAATCTATGAGCTCAAGCTACCCCAAGTCCTTCTTTGCCATATCTTCTTCTTCTAAGCTGAAAACCCACCAAGATGGATTCTCAAGGTCAAGATCACACAAGAATGAAGGCATGAGACGTTCTAGGGTTTTTCTGAGTTTGGGGAGGCTGATAAGGGGCTAGGGTTCAAGCCCTAATGTTCTTTATATGGTGCTTGACCCTAAAATTAAGGTTTAGTGTCACTGAGTGTACGATGGGCGTACGTCTCTAGCACCCACGACCATTTAACCTTTCTACGCTGGGCGTACTCACCCAATTACCACCTTTTGCATACATAGACTGAAACGTAAGTTTTTCCATTCAGGGTCTAATTCTTCCAGAAACTTCAAAGTACTATAACTTCTTCGTTCTAAGTCTGTTTCCGATGATCTTTATATCCATGAAAAGGTAGCGAGAATCCCTACGCTCCTATCTACACACCCGAGCCTTAAAACCTTTCGAATAGAACCCGAGACCCATAAACAACCAAATCGCTTATACCATGGGCCTCCGAGATCGCCACCAAAGTACTTTTTAAAACGAGGTGTTATAACTCTCCCCCACTTAAATTGGACTTCATCCTCGAAGTCCATTACGGGCAGCTACCCCGAAACTCCTCACGTCACTCGGGTATGATGCATACTCTGTCTGCTCAGTCCAATCCTCGTTGGACTGCTTCTATTTGCCTTCTGTCCAATCTTTCTGAGCAAAAAGCTAACCCTCGAGGGTATCTCTGGAGAACCATCCAATCACTATAAACCTTGAGTACATTGCTCTTAACCAATCGGTACTCTTTCCTGGTACTCCCCAAGTACTTATGCTAGACATCCTAGGGGGTTCTCCCCTTCTTTTTCCTTGCGCGTTCACTGGCCTTCCCAAGGAATCTCTCCATGAACAACAACCTCATCTATCTCTGTGTAGGATAGTCCTATGTTGTAACTAAATATGCAGTCACACCCAGTGTTGCCTCTTCACTACTATCCACTGAATGCTTCCTCTTATCGTGTCTCAATGTTGAACACCCAACCCAGCAAATGGATCAGATAATCCTTCGATTAAAAGATTCATCCCTACAGATCACTTATACTTGGCCTAGGCTCAGCTAATCCCACTATGAGTGACTTAGCATTACCCAACAATATGTTGCACTTACCATACATGAAATTCTAAAATACCATTATTGCTTAAGACCCAAAACTGTCTGAAGCACTGATCTACCTGAAACACATAACTACCTGAAATAGTATGCATACACATGGCTGCCTATCATCGCATGAATACGCAGCCACAACATCGCCTGGACTCGTAATTCATTACCTATCTATCATCAACTGATTATCATCACCATTATATCCTAACCTATCTCTTATCACATTATTTCATCACACACCAACTATTTCATCTACCCATGTTCTACCCAACATATTTGTAGACATAAATTACATATACAGTTTAAAACTATTTAAAAACCTGTATAAAATATTCATTCAACATCCATCTCAAGTAACAACAATATATAAACACATAACACGTATTTCATAGCAAA